GCGACAAATGCCAACGCAGTGGTAATAATTCTAACCGAAATGAAATGCCTTTGAATTCTATATCAGAGGTGGAAATTTTTTATGTATGGGGTATTGATTTTATGAGACCTTTTCCTCCTTCATTCTCAAATCAATACATTTTGGTGGTGGTTGATTATGTGTCAAAGTGGGTAGAAATGGTGGCTTTGTCCACTAATGATGCTAGGGTGGTAGTAAACTTTTTAAAGAAAAATATTTTCTCTTGCTATGGCACCCCTCGAGCTATCATTAGTGATGGAGGTAAACATTTTTGCAATCGCCTCTTCGACTCAGTATTGACCAAATATGTAGTAAAGCATCGTGTAGCCACTCCCTATCATCCCCAAACTAGTGGCCAAGTTGAAATTTCAAATCGAGAGTTGAAGAGGATTCTTGAATTGACGGTGAGTGTCTCTAGAAAATATTGGTCCAAGAAATTGGATGGTGCATTATGGGCTTATCATACCGCATTCAAAACGCACATTGGTATGTCTCCCTATCGTCTTTTGTTTGGGAAAGCTAGCCACCTCCCAGTAAAACTTGAGCATCGAGCTTATTGGGCAGTAAAAGCTTTGAATTTTGATGTGAAATTGGTCGGTGAGAAAAGATTGCTCCAATTGAATGTACTGGATGAGGTCCACCTTGACTCTTATGAGAATGCTCAAATTTACAAAGAAAGGACAAAGAAATGGCATGATAAACACATTATGAAATGAGAGTTCTTTGTTGGGCAACAAGTTCTTCTCTACAATTCTCGACTCCGATTGTTTCCCGAAAAGCTCCACTCGAGATGGTCTGGTCCTTTTACCATTGCTAAGATTTTTCCACATGGAGCAATTGAACTTCATCGTGAGGAAAAGGGGAACTTCAAGGTTAACGGGAAACGATTGAAACCATACTATGGAGGTGATTTTTCTAAGGAGAAGTCCTCCATTCCTCTTGCCAATTTGGAGTGAATAAGGCCTATAGTCGAGCTAGGGACTATAACCAAGCGCTTGTGGGGAGGCAACCCAACTTTCTTATCCTTACACTTTTGTTTATGTTACTTGTGATTAATACTTTTGTTATTACATTTTGAATTAATACAATTCTTTTGGAGGTCAAAATTTTTGAAGTCCTAGCCACCCTTAGATCTCAACAAGTTTGGGGGTGCATGGTCCACTAAGTCATAAACCAAAAATTCATCTACAACATCCTTCAACATACAGCTAATCAGGGAAGTTTCATCTACCCTCTCTCCTTATTTTGTATTTATGTACACATTGAGGACAATGTGTAAGTTAAGTTTGGGGATGTTAATTGTTGATTGGATATTGTGCCTATTTATCGTGCATATATTGGTGTTGATACTGGCATATTGGATAGCCTTGTTGGCTTTTGATGATTTGATGTGATGTTTAAAATTGTTATTAATTCATAAGTTATGTCCAATCACGCTATTTGTTTCGATCTTGAAAATTTGCTTGTCCATGTGAGATTTTATACCACTTTGAGCACAATAGTCACAACTGGTTATTGTCTAGATGTGGAAATGGTTTATTGATGGAAAATTTTTGAATTGGAAGAATTAGGTTGTGAGTTACACATAAACTTCTATCATACTCTCAATAACTCCACCATTTTGTGAATTAAGTTTGGGGGTGGTCGAGCCGGTGAAGGATATTATCTAGAAGTGTGTTGATTCCATGCATGTTGAAAATATTTGTATGGAGTATATTTTTATGACCATATGCTAGGGATCTAAGCCCTATGTGTTGATTTGTGCTTAAAAAGAATGTTATTGCACATGTTGAATCTTGGGCCTCACTTCGTAGCCTTTTTTACTCGAGTTATTAAGTCCGTAGGGGTATTTCAAAATCCGATACCCTTTGGTCTAAACAACCGGGGAGTTATCGACTTAAAGCTCGCTACAAGGGTCAAGAAGAAAGCTTAAGTGAGTGAGGTAAAACATGAGATTTGGCTAAAATAAAAAAAATTGGGCTTAGATAACTAGTGGGTTTGAATTACTTAGTATAAGCTTGAATGCGGAAGAACTCGTTAGTGGAGAATCATCATATAACTAGATGTTGAGATTGCCTGTTAGACCCAACCAAACTAGAGCGGAAAAAGAAATGAGTGATTGAGAACAATCTTAGATTTACACCTCGGGAAAAAAAATATCTATTTTGGTGAGAATCTCACGAGTGAGAAAGAAAATATTTTACCACAAAGGGTCGGGTTGGAGCCAATTTGAAGATTTTTTCTGTCTTGACAATTTTTTCCTAGTTTAGATAATGATTAAAAATGACGTGGCACCCACACACCGATCGAACATTGGACAAGTTTAAATTATTTTTGCTAGCATTATTTGGAGCATATTTATGTTTTGATTATACAATTTTACACTCATTGATATTTTTGGCAAGCTATTTAATGTGTTGACTATTATCACGTTTGTTTGCTCGGGACGAGCAAGAGCTTAAGTTTAGGGGTGTTGATAAGTATGTTTTTGCACACTTATTGGGCACTTAATTTAATATAATTATTGATGAAAAGAATAAAATTCTACTCACAATTAAGTAATATTTGCTTTTGTTGGCTAAAAATCACTCGTGGTAAGAGAACAAAGCAAAAAGGAGGAAAATGGACTAAAATTGTGCAAATTTGTGATGTTGGGGACCAAAATGCATGTGTCAAAAGTGGAGGAATTGTGCTGCAATTTATGGAGGGCATAATCGAAATGAAAGTCAAAATCTAGGGACCAAATTTACAAGATCAAAAGTTGAGGGACTTGGCATGCAAAATATTGAGGGAATTGGCTGCAAATGACACAAAACCCATTTTTTGGGCTACTTGACAGAAGCCCAGGCGCTGCAGCGCCATTGTTCTGGCACCGCAACGCCCATTTTAAAAGAAAAAACGAGTTGGGGACCTTTTGTTAACTTTGAAACTTTATGGACCAAGGCCGCAATTTTCCTAGGGTTTGATATAAAACCAGCAGATGGGGAAGATTTCTGGGGTCCGGAGGCAGCTCATTCTGGGACGATTCTGCTTCTTCTTTCTTTCATTTTCTTTTCTTTTCTTTTGTTTTACTTGGTATTTTGGAGATTCAATATAGAGCAATAAGGATATTACATCAAGGATTTGGCAAAGCTCTTGAAGAATCAAGTTCATGCTTTAAAAAAGGGTTTTATCTACAAACTTGTATTTTCTCAATTATTTTGTCATATTTGTAATGTATTGCTGTAAATATTCTCCTTTCCATCATATGTATAAAATGGGCTAAGTATTTCGTTGGGATTTATGGTAGTAGTTTGACCTAGGTTTAATCGATTTTCAATATTTGCTATTTAATATTAAATTGCCTATTTTCATGTGTTTCTACTATTGTATTTATTGTATTTTAATTTATGTGGCCAATGAATGAATATGTTTCGTGAAATGTACATAGTTCGAGAGAATATTGTGCATTTTAGATCAAATGGTAGAAACCCTAAGTTTGTGTAGAGGATAGATATATACCTCTAGCCCTAGGTGTCCCAATGAGCTATTTTCGTAACAATTTAATGCGGTTGTTTGGTTGTAATCGACATAGAGATATAGTAGATTAAACCAATCAATTATGGTTAATTTCACTTGAGAGGGGTAATTAGCTAAAATTGGAAAATCAGGTCTAACATCGTAAATGAGTAATTCGTTAATTGGCATGTGGAAAAATTAATTAGGTGACGGTTAAGCGATATCATGAATCCCAACCACGTTTTTTCCAAAATTCCCAAGATTTTCATATTTTCTTAGTTTGTATGTTTTTTCCTTAGTTTCTAAAATCAACTCTTTATTGCGTGTTTGTTTATTTTCATTGTTAGAATTAAATTGATTAAAGTTGTGTAATTTAAAGTAAACATTCCTCGAGGGATGTACAATCCGGATTTAAAAGGTCTACTTTATTACTTGAATACGACCCGTGCACTTGCGGTAGTATTTTAGTGAACAGTCCGCCTTAGCTGAACTCAAATCCTAAATTTGCCCCTGGTTACTAGTCACCCAAGGCTAACCTGGGTATAACAAGGGGAGACGTCTTTCCATCCATTTTTCCATTCCAATCCTTTAAGAAATAAGTGTCATTTATTTAAATAGATGGTTTCCATCCATTTTCTCATTAATCAACCCATTTAACTATCACATTCGAAAATTAAAACTAGAAAAATAGTTATTTCATTATTCTTAATTAAATGATATCAAACTTTAAAAGTTTGCTGCTATTTACCAAAAAATAAATTTGACTTTTACGACTTAATTTTTTAGACATGTTTAATTTTGATCTACCTCTTTCTTTTCTACATCTCTCTAATCAACATAAATAAATAAATAAATAAAAATGAACTATGCAATCATTGTTTAATTTCTGTGAAACGGTATATTTTCTTTAATTCGCAGTAATAGTATTCATCTCTAATATGGAGAATATATAACAACGTAATTATAGGAAAAAAAGAAACTCTCTAAACTGAAGGATCCTCGTAGATTACAATATTTCCTAAATTAAAGGATCCTAATAGATTATAATAAAATTACGTTTTCTGAATCAAACAATTCTAGTAAATTACAATAAATTACGATATCTTCCAAATCAATCTTATGATAATTTACTTATAAATATTACAGCTCATGCTAACAGTACTTCACTTAATTGATAGTTATTGTGTTTAATCACAATCTGTTCACACAAAACATAAAAATTATGACTAATACTATTTGACACTATTGACGTTAAAATATTGGTGTATGTGGCATTAACTATGAGGTATAATTAAATGAATCATTGAATTTTATTTTTTACTGAGCCTATCACTTAGCGCCACCTAAACGAGTGTTAGATAAAATTTTATTCAACAATCAGTCGTAAGTTTCACAGTTTGTTCACATTTATGTGGTCAACTTCTATATTTTACAATCTCACACACCAATCTGCGTGCAATAACTTGCCTATAATTCATCTTCTATCACATGGATTAGTGAAGTCTTCCCCAGCTATAAATATCCTTGTCATCACTCTCTTTCACTTTGCCATTCATACATCATAAAAGAAAAACAAAAAAACTTTGTTAGAAATCTCAGAAAAGAGAAAAAGCCCAGTGTTCATTTGGTCTAATCATGGAGAAAAATGAGGTTGCTGTCACTAAAAAAGAGCCTAATTACAGAGGAATCAGAGCCATGCCTTTTGTTATAGGTAAATTTCCACAAAAGTTATGAATTTTAGCGTCATGTTTTGTTGTTGCGTACAAAATCTGAATCATATAATCTTTTCTTGGAGTAATGTGTTGTTCCCGGGTTATAGAAAATTTTCTCGTGCTTTCTCGATGAAGATTGCATCTAGTTAATGTTGGTCAAATTTCTGAAAATTTTGACACTTTTTGGAAAATTTTGCTGGGAATGAGACATTTGAGAAGCTGGGAACAATTGGAACTTCATCTAACATGTTGGTGTACCTCAGTACAGTGTTCAACATGAGCTCCATTTCTGCCACTAATTTCATCAATATCTTGAATGGAACTTGCAATTTTGGAACAATGTTTGGAGCCTTTCTCTCTGATACTTATCTAGGCCGATATAAGACCCTCGGAATTGCATCAATTTCCTCTAACCTTGTATGATTTCTGCTCATAACCTTTCATTCCTTCAAGTAGATTTAGAATCAATGTAAAATTGTTTGAACTGAAGTAATTTTCGAGTCAAATTTGGCAGGGGATGCTTGTGCTAACACTAACAGCAGCATTTCCGTCCCTACATCCTCCTAAATGTGGAGCAGAAGAGAGTAACAGATGTGTCAGTGCAACACCATGGCAACTCGCATTCTTGTTTAGTGCATTCGGGCTGCTGGTAGTCGGAGCTAGTGGCATAAGACCGTGTAACTTGGCATTCGGAGCCGATCAATTCAATCCCAATACAGATTCAGGGAGAAAGGGAATCAACAGCTTCTTCAATTGGTACTACTTCACCTATACTTTTGCCATGATGATATCTTTGACACTCATCGTCTACGTGCAAACCACTGTGAGTTGGGCTATCGGATTAGGCATTCCTGCGTTTCTCATGTTCCTGTCCGTCGCCTTCTTCTTCATTGGGAGCAGAATTTATGTCAAAGTATTGCCTGAAGGCAGTCCCTTGACAAGCATGGCACAGACATTAGTTGTTGCATTTAAGAAGAGAAAGTTGAAATTGCCAGAGCAAGATTGGAGTAATCTGCTTAATTACTTTCCACCGGATTCAATCAATTCAAAGCTTGCTTATTCTGACCAACTAAGGTAATAATATTTAGTCAATGAACATTTATGGCCTATCCGACAAGGTCAACTATATATTGGACAGTCTCTCCAGTCCAGTCGAATGCTAAGTAACAAACATTAATAAATTGTCCTATAATTCAGGTTTCTCAATAAAGCAGCAATAATCACACCCGATGACAAGATCAATACCGATGGATCGGCAGCCAATCCATGGTGTCTTTGCAGCATCCAGCAAGTGGAAGCAATGAAATGTGTGATTAGAGTAATTCCCATATGGGTTTCAGGCATAATATACTACGTTATCATAGCACAAATGCAGACTTATGTAATATTCCAAGCCATCCAAAGCAACAGATACCTAGGAAGTGGCAAATTCCGAATCCCGGCAGCATCTTACACTGTTTTCAATATGTTGAGCTTCTCGATATGGATTCCCATTTACGACAGACTCATCCTTCCTTTACTCCGACGAATCACAAGAAATGAAGAAGGGATTAGTCTCCTCCAGCGGATCGGGATAGGAATGGTACTTGCTATAGTCACAATGCTCGTATCAGCATTAGTCGAAAACCACAGGAGGACGTTGGCCTTAACTCGTCCCACATTAGGCCTCGAGCCTCGAAAGGGCGCCATTTCATCCATGTCGGGTTACTGGCTGATACCTCAGTTGGCAATAGCAGGAATTTCCGAGTCATTCACTGTCATTGGTTTAATTGAATTCTACTACAAACAGTTCCCTGAAAACATGCGCAGTTTCGCAGGATCTTTCGTGTTTTGTGCATCCGCAATGTCGAGTTATTTGAGCAGTTTCTTGATATCAGTCGTTCATCGGACGACAAGAGTGGGAGAATCAGAAAATTGGTTGTCTGATGATCTTAACAAGGGGAGATTGGATTACTTTTATTACCAGGTTGCTGGTTTAGAAGTGCTGAATTTGGTATACTTTTTGATTTGCTCAAAGTATTACAAGTACAAAACAAGAGAAAGCAACATTAAAGATGTTGCTATGGAGGAATTATAACGTAAAAAACCTATAATTTTTAGTTTCACAATCAGAATTTTTGAGGGATTCATCAAACTATAGAAATACAGGCAGCACGTGCATTTCGACCCGATTGAAGAACAAAAATAAATTAAAAAGTTTTGTATTTTTTGTTTTTTTGTATTTTTTTGTTTTTTTTTTTTTTTGGGAGTGGAGGGGATGGAGGCACCATTCTTCGATTCGTTGATCTTGGTGGTGGAAGCAACAATCATTAATCAATTGGAATAATGTGATTTGATAAACAAATTGTTATCAACTTTATTATGCAATAAAGTACCATCGAGTATAACATACCGAACATATCTATAATTGTATTTTATATTCAATATTTTTATTTAGGGATATCATTATATATACAAATTGAAATTAGAAAAAAATATATATTAGAGCATCTCTAATGCAGTAGTAGATAACTTAAAAAAATTGTGTCACATAAATAAAAATAAATGATAACTATAAAAATTCATTCCAAATGCAACTTGACTTGGACTCCATCAAATTGACATTGCTGACAATTTCGTCTAGATTTAAAAGCTCTTTATGTAGAATGGCTCACGAAAAATAGTATTTTATTTCTCGATTCAAAAGCTCTGTTATGTAAAGTTGCGTCTTTGCAAATATGTACAAACTGGTTTGTGAATAACTCTTTTATACATCTAGAAAATTATTATTTTTCTATTCAAATAATCAAGTAAACATGGATGAATTTAGCTTATATTAGCCTCATCTCAATCGTTCATGTGATTCATACGTGAGATGAAAATAAACAAAGTTTTAAGATAATTAATTTTGCAATAGCAGTGAAAGTGCTACATGTAAATAAATTGTCTACATAATGGTGTCCATAATTACACGTGACACTGAATTCAACATTTAATTCAAATATAACACTTACACATCAACAATTGGATGATTACCACATCACATTATGGACACCATGATGTGCAATAATTATGTACAGTAGAATTTTTATATTTTTATAATCACAAACATTATTTTTAACCTTTTGTTTTAGTTCTGAATCCCATCATCTCGTCTAGTCCACGCAACAACTTCAGCATCATATGATGGAAAAAATAAAAATAAAAATCGACCATCTCAATTATTTTGTTGTTGAGGTCATTAAATCAAATATTAAATAAATAATTTTTTTAACAGCTGGCAGGTTGAATATATATATATATATAATTTAAAAATTGTGCCAAGCAAAAGAGAGTATAAAAAAAATGGAGAAATCTCCAATGCAATAAGTGTACAATAAGCATGTATTGAAGATTAGAGATAATTAAATAAATATGATGTGGTTGGATATGATATTAGAACACATAAAGATTGTGAATTTAAGTCTTTTGTCACTAATTTATAAAAGTGTGCAGTATCAAATTCTAAAAATATAATATAATAACACGAGGAAATATGTTTAAAATTAAATTTAAAAAAGGTAAATAATACTAATAACATTTTGAAGTTTAAATACCCTTAATAAGCATACTTTAGAATTCTAGAGACGAACCACGTTTTGGGCTTTTTCCTGTTACTCTCTTATAATGCTCTTGTTTGAGCCCCATTTTTTGGGGAAGAATGAATTTTTAAATAGTGTATTGATGGAAAATGTGTGGTTAAAAAGTAATGAAAAATTTTGGATTTACGTGTAATATTATTTTATTAAAAAATGTGTGGTTAAAATGATGTTAAAACACTGTTGAAAAATGAATTTTTTCAAAACAATGAGGCTCAAACAAGGGCAATATGGTTTCTCAAACTCATAATTTTCTAACTTCTATCATTTTGCCTTTGAATTTTCATCTCTATCACTCAATTAGATCTCAAAACATGTTGGTATCTGGTACATGGATATGAACAGAAAAATGAAAGTAGTCCGAGTTGGTGCTGAATAATGCAGTCATCTTCTGTACCATTACCATTAGGTCCAGTTAGGTGCAAACTCACCAAACCTGTCCCAGAATAGATCTAGAAAGTCAAATTGTATGTTTGTTTATAAACTCGATCAGTCAACGTTTCCGAACTGGATGGACTGGGATGGCTACACGCTTGACCCGTCCCCTCATTTGTGGCGATATGAAAGTGTACTCAACATGTGAAAAGTACAATATTGAATGAATGAGGTATGGGCTCGCTCACTTTCTGAAAACCCCCGCCCGGCCAAATGAACACCAACTACCCAATAAACATGCTCCAAAAAAATATAATAGATCGAATATGTAGTTTTGTTCTGAATCGACCACTTTCGACATGTTGAGATATGTCACAGAGACACAATGGCCACTCTTCTACAAAAATAGCCCAATCAACCCCACTAGTGTAGAGTGTAAAGTAGAAGAAAACATGAGTGCATGAGTTAAGACTTCTCTTGTCCCTCTGTGAGTATAATTATGAACAACTTTTAAGTCTACCTTTTAGGTTATCACATTTCTTGATCATGTTATTCATGTGCATAAAGCATACTTATTATCCACTTTCATAGAAGAGGATATCAAGACCATGTCATACTAGATCATGAAGCATGTTTCCATCTGGTCTGCCATGCCATATGTGATGCTTCCATCGAACGGCGTCATCGCATTTGTATAGACAATGTATGGATCAAACTCGAGATCTTTACTGTCGTGATGACTTATCATGTAATTGAGTCTGTTTACTTTTATTACTTGAACTATTTGCAAGCAAGATTTTTTATTGGACTATTCAATTTTTTATTCAGTGGCTTCAACTTTAATGGCTACCAATTATAAATCCACACCACGTACCCCTTGGTGCTCAATTATAAGTTAGGGTCAAATCATTAGGTCTGCCTAAAATTGGGTTTAGCCAATCTTAGATTGATTCTAGCGTAATGGATTGACGAATAATTTATTACTAAACGGATGGTTATACAGAATCTGAATAAAAAAAAAAAAAAAATTGGTTGTAAAAAGCTTTTTTACAAAAGACTAAAAGGATGGTTACTCATAACTTGAATAAAAAATAGGGAAAATTGCAGTAGAGACCCCAAGCCTGTAAAACATTAACAGACTTTCCCCAAATCTTTAATTTGTTGCAACCGTCACCCCCCAAACCTTTTGAAATATTGCGGCAGAGGGCCTTTTGGACGGTTTCATCCAAATGTCTGTTAGTTACCTAAGAAATTTGACTTTGACCATATTTTTAATATTTTTGAAAGGGTAAAAATAGTAACTTTTCATTTATTATATTAAAATAAGTTAAAAATTAAATTAGAAAAAATAAGGAAAAAAAAAACACAATCGTCTTTGTCCTCTCACCCTACCCCCACCTCCACCTCCACCTCAAACCCAAAATCAGTTACCGACCCCTGCCACCGCTACCTCCACAATTTCAATTAATACAGTCATGATATTAATGCAACTTAGAATTTAGACGGCACTTTTCCACTTCAATAGTAACACAAGACTGAGAACATGTCATTAAAAATCAAAGAATTCTAATTGTGGAGTGAATATGCCGGGACAGTGTCCAAGCGCAGTTGGCTGAAAATCATTCGCATACTCTGCCTTAGAATGAGTTCATTTCATGTCCCTTGGAACATTTCTTGAACCCTTTGTGCTTCAAATGTTCCCCTCAACATACTAACAGTATCTTGACACAAGATTAATAACACAAGAAAAAATGCACAAATTCCCATAAATTTGGTTGTCATATCGTGAAAGAACCGATCAAAAAGTTTTAGAGAGAAAAAGAAGAATGTTTGAGGTTATAAGAGACAAATGTATAAAACCCTTCTGAAAACTTTAGTGTGTATATATATTAGTGACTATATTAATTGAAATTGTTGTTCTCCAGAGCGGGCATTTACTCACTCAAAAATTGGGTTACATTTTGATTTAGGTTTTTATGGTGGATATGGAAGTGGAGGTGGAGGTAGAAGTGGTTGGTAAATGATTTGGGTTTGAGGTGGGGGTGGGTTGAGAGAAAGAAGACGATTGATTTTTTTTTTCCTTATTTTTTTCTAATTTAATTTCTAACTTATTTTAATGTAATAAATTGAAAGTTACTATTTTACCTTTTCAATAATATTAAAAATATGGTTAAAGTCAAATTTAGTCAACTAACAGACATTTGGATGAAAATAGTCCAAAAGAGTCTCGGCAGCAACGTGTCGAAAAGTTTGGAGGTGATGGTTACAATAAATTAAAGATTTGGAGAAAGCCTATTAATGTTTTAAAGGTTTGGAGCATCTATTGTAATTTTCTCTGAAATAAATAATATATATATATATATATATTCAAGGAAAACAAGGTGTTGAGGAAAATGTTGGAGGAAAAATGTATGTATGGGCTGTTTTGATATAATTTTGAGTGGACTCGTTTCTTCATTTTTAAAAATCAAAATTGATTTGTAATATCTTCAGTAAGAACGTCAATATCATATATTTACTTATCAAGAATATTAATCGGCCTGTTAATTCTCCATTAGAGTCTATTTATACATTCTGTTTTCCTCCACTCCATACGCATGAAATTCCATTCTTCTCTGTCTACGAAAAAAATTTCAATTTTTGTCGAAGTCTTGGCAATCTTGTTCTAACCTAAATTTAATTCATCAAAGTAGAAACTGAAGTACTCAAACTCTATTGATTTTTTCTATATATCCTGGGAGATAGGCGCTTAACAAAATATCAAACACTGATGGTCAGGGGGGCGATCAAAGAAATTGTGTTTACACAGACCTCAATTTATAAATTTGTTCTCTTTTTGTGAATACTATTTTCTATTTTTATTTTCTTTTCATGTTCTCTCTAAAATTAATAAAATATATTATTCTACATTTTGTCCAAAAAATGTGGGCTCCCAAAATTGAGAAGTTGCATTGTTATGTTAGCAAAATGCATTTACAAGCTTGACCAATTTTGTGTTAAAATGCTGCCACATGGAAGAATGAGGACCGTTGGATCAATCTCTGGATGCATCCATTTGACTTCACTTGATCTGTTCATCAGGGAAATTGGATGGTCATCCTCTCATTCTCACTCTCGAAGTAACTCTCTCAAACCCTAGAATATCTTTCCTCTTTCTAGCTTTGTTGGGCTTCTTGAACTTGGTGTTCTATGATCTATGTGT